GGTATAGAGGTCCTGGATGGCAGGGAGCTTTGCCCCAGTGATGTACTGGGCCGTACGCACTACCCTCTGTAGTGCCTTGCGGTCAGAGGCCAAGCAGTTGCCATACCAGGCGGTGATGCAACCAGTCAGGATGCTCTCGATGGTGCAGCTGTAGAATTGTTTGAGGATCTGAGGACCCATGCCAAATCTTTTTAGTCTCCTGAGGGGGAATAGGCTTTGTCGTGCCCTCTTCACGACTGTCTTGGTGTGTTTGGACCATGATAGTTCGTTGGTGATGTGGACACCAAGGAACTTGAAGCTCTCAACCTGTTCCACTACAGCCCCGTCGATGAGAATGGGGGCGTGCTCAGTCCTCTTTTTTTTCCTGTAGTCCACAATCATCTCCTTTGTCTTGGTCACGTTGAGGGAGAGGTTGTTGTCCTGGCACCACACGGCCAGATCTCTGACCTCCTCCCTATAGGCTGTCTCATCGTTGTCGGGGATCAGGCCTACCACTGTTGTCGTCGGCAAACTTAATGATGGTGTTGGAGTCGTGCCTGGCCATGCAGTCATGGGTGAACAGAGAGTACAGGAGGGGACTGAGCACGCACCCCTGAGGGGCCCCCGTGTTGAGGATCAGTGTGGCAGATGTGTTGTTACCTACCCTTACCACCTGGGGGCGGCCCGTCAGGAAGTCCAGGATCCAGTTGCAGAGGGAGGTGTTTAGTCCCAGGATCCTTAGCTTAGTGATGAGCTTAGAGGGCACTATGGTGTTGAATGCTGAGCTGTAGTCAATGAATAGCATTCTCACGTAGGTGTTCCTCTTGTCCAGGTGGGAAAGGGCAGTGTGGAGTGCGATAGAGATTGCATCATCTGTGGATCTGTTGGGGCGGTATGCAAATTGGAGTGGGTCTAGGGTTTCTGGGATTATGCTGTTGATGTGAGCCATGACCAGTCTTTCAAAGCACTTCATGGCTACAGACGTCAGTGCTACGGGTCGGTAGTCATTTAGGCAGGTTATCTTAGAGTTCTTGGGCACGGGGACTATGGTGGTCTGCTTGAAACATGTTGGTATTACAGACTCAGTCAGGGACATGTTGAAAATGTCAGTGAAGACACTTGCCAGTTGGTCAGCACATGCTCGGAGTACACGTCCTGGTAATCCGTCTGGCCCTGCGGCCTTGTGAATGTTGACCTGCTTAAAAGTCTTACTCACATCGGCTACGGAGAGCGTGATCACATAGTCATCCGGAACAGCTGGTGCTCTTATGCATGCTTCAGTGTTGCTTGCCTCGAAGCGAGCATAGAAGTGGTTTAGCTCGTCTGGTAGGCTTGTGTCACTGGGCAGCTCGCGGCTGTGCTTCCCTTTGTAGTCTGTAATAGTTTTCAAGCCCTGCCACATCCGACGAGCGTCAGAGCCAGTGTAGTATGCGGTCGGGCACTGATGTTGGGGTGATTAGGCCTGGCTCGCAGTCAGCGTTCCAAATCTTCCCAAGGTGAGGTCAGGGCTTTGTGCAGGCCAGTCAAGTTCTTCCACACCAATCTCGACAAACCATTTCTTTATGGACCTCGCTTTGTGCACAGGGGCATTGTCATGCTGAAACAGGAAAGGGCCTTCCCCAAACTGTTGCCACAAAGTTGGAAGCACAGAATCGTCTAGAATGTCATTGTATACTGTAGCGTTAAGATTTCCCTTCGCTGGGACTAAGTGGCCTAGCCTGAACGATAAAAAACAGCCCCAGACCATTATTCCTCCTCCACCAAACTTTACAGGTGGCACTATCCGTTCTGGCAAGTAGCGTTCTCCTGGCATCCGCCAAACCCAGATTCGTCCATCGGACTGCCAGATTGTGAAGTGTGATTCATCACATTTTACATTTACATTTTAGTCATTTAGCAGACGCTCTTATCCAGAGCGACTTACAGGAGCAATTAGGGAGAATGCGTTTCCACTGCTCCAAAGTCCAATGGTGGCGAGCTTTACACCACTCCAGCCGATGCTTGGCATTGTGCATGGTGATCTTATGGTTGTGTGCGGCTGCACGGCCATGGAAAGCCATTTCATGAAGCTCCCGATGAACAGTTCTTGTGCTGACATTGCTTCCAGAGGCAGTTTGGAGCTCGGTAGTGAGTGTTGCAACCGAGGACAAACGATTTCTACGTGCTTCAGCACTCGGCGGTCCCGTTCTGAGCTTGTGTGGCCTACCACTTCGCGGCTGAGCCGTTGTTGCTCCTAGACATTTCCACTTCACTATAACAGCCCTTACAGTTGACCGGGGCAGCTCTAGCAGGGCAGAAATTTGACGACCTGACTTGTTGGGAAAGGTGGCATCCTATGATGGTGCCACGTTGAAGTCACTGAGCTCTTCTGTAAGGCCATTCTACTGCCAATGTGTCGTCTATGGAGATTGCATGGCTGTGCTTGATTTTACACACCTGTCAGCAACGGGTGTGGCTGAAATAGCCGAATCCACTAATTTGAAGGGGTGTCCACATACTTTTGAATATATAGTGTAGGTCAGGACTAAAAACAAACATGGCTAAACTGTTAACCTTGTGCCTGACTGACCCACTTCATAGAAACCTGATTATACATTCTCGTAACCAAGACTTAATGTCCAAGACTTAACACATTGGAAAGGTCACAGGCACCACAATAAAAAAGTTTTTGTGACTGTGACATCAGACTTATGCTACAGACCTCCTTTACTCTCAATCCGGAGCTTTGGATTCCCATTACCCTCAGCCTATATGCTACAGTACATTACATCTAGTCATTCAGCAGACTGTCTTATCCCCTGCTTGACTCTAAGATCTCTAAAGTCAAGGTACATAAGTATAGTAGGAAGGAGAGATTAAGAGCAGTAATGCCACAGATCAGTTAATCCCCTGGGTTAGGCTGTTGGCAGTGAGCTACGTGCATGTAGAAGTTTAATAGTATACTGGAAGGGTCGTGCTCTTTCCTCAGCTGAGCCCACAGCTACAGTAAGAAAGCTCTCCAGCGGTTTATGTTTTTCAGAATCCGCCCCTGGACAAATCTTGCTGTAGGGGCACAAAAGAAAATGGCTGGAATTCCAGTGTTTAAAAATAAACAGTGGGGCAAACTGTAGCCAGCTTTGGAAAAACTTTCCCAACTGATCAAAGAAGACGTCATTGAGTTCTGCAGAATTTGAAAAAATGTTTAGGTTGGAGAGGGAAATCAGGAGGTTTTGAGTCAGAGGGGAGGAGTGAGTTTCTACAGTAGTCATAGAACCAGAATGGCACAGCAGCACAGACCTGGGCTGACTCCTTAAGGTTTACTGTGATGGAAATCTGGTGCAGGTTTGAGCCTAACTGGAAACATTGAATATATATATTTTGGGGTATTTTACCCCCTTTCTCTCCCCAATTTCGTGGTATCCAATTGGTAGCTACAATCTTGTCCCATCGCTGCAACTCCTGCACGGACATGGGAGAGGCGAAGGTCGAGAGCCGTGCGTCCTCCGAAACACAACCCAACCCAGCCGCACTGCTTCTTGACACAGTGCCCGCCCAACCCGGAAGCCAGCTGCACCAATGTGCCGGAGGAAACACCGTACACCTGGCGACCGAGTCAGTGTGCACTGCGCCCCCGGCCCGCCACAGGAGTCACTAGTGCGCGATGGGACAAGAACATCCCTGCTGGCCAAACCCTCCCCTACCCTGGAAGGCGCTGGGCCAATTGTGCGCCGCCCCATGGGTCTCCCGGTCGGCTGCGACAGAGCTTGGAATCGAACCAGGATCTCTAGTGGCACAGTTAGCACTGCGATGTAGTGCCTTAGACCACTGCGCCACTTGGGAGGCCAAGCATTGAATTTCTGTACTGTTTGTCTTTGACAGCAAAAGTTTTTAGTACTAATTCAATTTTAGTGTGTTGTATGCCAAGCATGCCCTTTCTTCGGGTGAGGTACAGTAGCCATAGTGTTATTCCTCTTGTAAACAGACATTGAGGATTTTGTCAAGTTAATCTGCTCCTCAGTATCTTAATGGAGAGTAGTCCTCTGATCAAAGCTGGATGTCCTCTTCTTAACCACTAAAAGACCAATGTCCTCTACCGACCACTGGATTAGGACTCAGCCCTAATTGCAACACCTGTCATCAAACATGGGGGTTTGTCGCAGGCAGTTAACAAAGCTGTGTTGTCATAGCGATAACCCAATCACTAATCCCAACCACTCTCCTTTGTGTGCCCCTCAGATGATCCTGGCTCTGCAGCAGAAGGAGATAGTGTCGTCTGAGAGCAGAGGAGTCCAGGACCACCATGCCCACTGGAGGACCACACTCTGACAAGACACTGTAGGACACAGGTGACTCTATAGTTCTGGCTTCTATAAGTGGTAGTGGTTGTAAGTAAGTCACTTAGCACGTTTAAGCAGTGCAGGGAGTGGAAAATTATAGCTAATGTAGTGTTGCCAACTAGACTGATAATGCATTGACGTTACAGTCAGTGAGCCGTAGCTACCTTCAGGAACACATTACAGTTGACAAACAGTTGTCAAATCAAGCCTCTATATCTCTCAAACCGCACCTTACTGTTCTTTGATTCACTTCCTTCAGATGTCTGGTCATGCCCCTCCTTCCCTAATCTAAAATCCTTTTGAGGTTCTCTGGAAGTCATTTCACACATAACAGCCATGAAGGCTTGTTGGTCACACTGGTGCTGACGCCGCCTTGGTACCTTTCCTGGAAAAGGTCTAAAATAAGAAGAACAGGACGTCTTTGTAATTATTAGATGCTCTCCTGCAAAATGAAGCCTTTTCTTTGGTCTTTTCACTCAGCTGTTATACCTAGTCCGTGACTGATGGCCTCCCATAAGAATCATTAGTCGGTAACAGTGGTGTGGTAATGTCTATTTTGACTGAGTCTGCTCAACCATGACCAATCTGAGTTACAGTAGCCTCTCAGCACAGCAGTGTGACGAGAACTGAAATTATGTCACCCAACAGATGTCTGCCTTGCCTTCCATAGTATCTCTGAAAGAATCTGTCTCCTTTGTCTTCCAGATCGCAATGGGAAACTCTGAGAGCCAGTACAGCCTTCAGGGGCCCAAGGGCACCAGCTTAATCCTCCCCGGGAAACAAAAACCCTACTCACTAAAGTTCCGCTCAACCAAAGAGGAGGTTATTTCCCCCCATACGTGGTGGAAAGGTGGGCTGGGGGGCTCGGGTTACAAAGCCAGGGCTGTTGGCCGAGGCTGCCTCTCCCCCCCGCAGAGGAGAGGAGAGCCGTACGTCTCCAGACACTACGATTACGTCACCAAGGGTGTGAAGGGTAGTCCAAACTGCCATCGCTGGCATGGCTCCCCACCAGGAGGCCACTCACACCTCCCTGCTGAGAATGGCTGCTGCCCATTTGAGGGCAGTGGAAGCTTGTACAGTAAAGCATCAGGGGAGCTGAACGACCATACTCTGAACGGACACAGGACCCCAGAGAGGATGCGAGGAGAGGCTGAAGAGGGGCTGGAGGAGCAGAGCAGTCCCAGGGTGGTCATCAAGAAGGATGGTAGTCTGAGGGTGGAGTTCACCAACACTAACAGTGGTCTGCCCCTGGACGAGGCCTCTGGGCCGGTGCAGCTGCTCAAATTCTCCCCCACCCTGGAGTCCACCCCAAGCCTTCCTGGCAGCAGTAGGAGGCCTGAGGCCCACCACGGAGCTCCGCAGCCAGCCTCAACCTCCACCACCAGGACCAGCAAGGGCAGCTCGCTGAGCTCCGAGGGGTCCTGGTACGACTCTCCCTGGGGGCCCAGCGCAGAGCTCTGCGACCAGGACCAGTCCTGCTCCTCCAGTAGGACTATGGGAAACAGTAGGGCTGACCAATTGGAGGCCTTCGGCCAACAGTCTCCCCCGGTGTCCATATCAGATCTCTACAGGGACCCCAGTATGGCTGCCACCTTCCCCACTGCTAAGGATCTGTCGGCCCAGTACAGGGAATCCCCCCATCACATCCAGCACCGGGCCTCCTTTGTTTCGGCCCTGGACGTGCCTGCTGAGGAGGAGTGTCCGGAGGCCAGGCAGTACTCGTCCTACACCCTGCCCTGCCGTAAGGCCCGGCCCAGCGGAGAGCGCTCCACCCTGAAGAAGGGCTCTGGCGCTGTCAGGAGCCGCATGCGACGCCTCAGCGACTGGACTGGAAGCCTCAGCAGGAAGAAGAGGAAGACACAGGTGAGTGGGGCTGTCGTCTGGGGTTGTCTGTGTAGGTCAGGGTCCCAGTGCTCAAACAATGTAAGTGTTTTTTACAGTAACATTTGTCACAAAGTGTCCCTAAGTACTAACCCCACAAAGAGCAAGCAGAAGCGACAGTGGCAAGGAAATACGTCCACTGAGGTTCTAAACTGATGTTGTTCTTCACAGGCTGTATACAGATCTATGAACTATCTTCATCGCTTGGTATGTACAACCAGTAGGTCTACAGCTGTGTTTGCAGTTAGTTCTGTACCCATAGCATATTGCTAGTCTCCATGTAGTCAACCTGTAGTCTGTAATAGAGGTACTGCCTTAGATTTACATTTGACATTTTTTGTCATTTAGCAGACACTCTTATCCAGAGCGACTTACAGTAGTGAGTGCATACATTTTCATATTTGTTCATACCGTGAGAATCGAACCCACAACCATGGCATTGCAAGTGCCATGCTCTACCAACTGAGCCACACAGGACCCCTTAGCTGCATGAGGTGTGTCTCCTTTGGAATTTCCCTTTGAGATATGAGTGTCTGCAGCTCCACAGGAGAATATGGTTATTATGTGGAGTCTCCCAGTGCTTGGCACAGACCAGTGTTCCAACTATGTTAGTGTCCTGTTAGGGAGGGGGGCAGAGGAAGCAACTCTCTGTCAGATTCTTGGCTGGGGACTGTTACTGGTTATCTGGGCCATGTGCCTCAGCGGTCGGTGTCGTCTCGCCAGGAACACAACGTTGTCCCCGGTCCGAGTACCACAATACCAGCTGTCTGAGGACAGAAAACCACAGGGTACCGCAAAATGAAATGTGCGACGCGGATGGTGCATTGTGTAGGGACTAGAGATGCAGTAGTCTACCGGAGAGTAAAGCATGAAACAGAGAGAAAGGATGAGAAGCCAAGGGGTCTGCAGATTCCATGACTACGTCTGGGTGGGTACAAGAGATCATGTCAGTTTAGTGTTTTTACCAACCTCATGCTAATGGGGGGAATATGCTAAATGCCATGTGTTGGAAGCATAGCTTGCCATTGTAGGTCATTTGCTGTTGAGTGTGATGGTGTTGGTGTGATTGGTTGAAACGACATGTTATTTACCAGTTTACAGCAGGTCTGTATGACGTACAGTGTAGGTCAGTGTTGCAGCATGGGTCAGACAGCTGAGAACTGGACCTGTAAAATGGCACCAGACTGTTTTGTACAACATAAGAGGATAAGAATAACCATGACTTGTATGCCGAATCACTGGATAGTGTGTGTTTGTGTAAATCTGTGTTATGGTTCTGTAATAGCTTATTTAGAGCATTTAGCCTCATAAATGTAAACACCATAGTCATATTTTCTGCAACAAAGTCTAAGTAGGTAATTGCTAAAAATGTGCGTTGTTAGATTTTCCCAAATTAGCTTCAAAATGTGGCCCTCTGACTTTGAGTCTTGAAATCAAACATTATGCTCCAATTCAATAGCTCTTTTAAACTTGAACACACTTTTCAAACAATGCCAAGATAATTGCTGTAAACCTTTACAATCTCTGTTGGAGTGAAACTAAGTCCCAGCTGAAGATTTAGAAACCTTTCCCACTCTTAATTATGTGGTTGTCATGGTGATTAGAATTTGGTGGAGCTGCTCTGGCCTCTACTCACCACCCTGTCCTGCTCTCCAGAGAGCCAGTCCATAGTGTGTACTGTATGGATAGGTACTCGTTCATTAGGGTGTGACCTGTGTTGGCATGAGGGTCAACTTTGGGGCCAGAGCTTTCACTCTAAATTACTAGACCTCACTTAAGCCCTAATAATCTCCTGCCATGTGTTGGGTTTGGGAAGAGACTAGACCTAGGACTCTCAGCTTCCCTGAACTATTGAACTCGTTGACCTTTTCAATGAGAAGGAGGAGGGCTTGTGAAGGACTGTGATTGAAGTTGTTCTGGTTCCCAGCGCAGCTTCATAGGTCCATGAGAAACTCTCCAACAAACTCTGGTCTATCAGATTAACACCCAAACACCCAAACCCCCATTCTCCTTTCAACTCCACCCCACCTCAAATATATGTCCTCTGTAGGCGTTAGGCAACCCCAGGCTTCAGGACAGAATAGTTATGAGCAGAGGGACATTTTTAGAAATAAATGGTCTCTTTCAGTGTTCTGACTCAAACTGTGAATTCTTCATGGGCAAATGTTGGAGCGTGATGTTTCCAACTGAGCTCTGGATAGTTTAATTGGAGCCATTCAGAGTTTTTATAGCTTCATGCTGACATGTTCACTGGGTCTCTCTGCACTCTGGTGACTGTGGAGTCCAGGGCAGAGCCAGTTCAGGGGCCCACACTGGCCTTGTTCTGCCTCTGTCTGGAGCTCTCCACTGGGTCTCTTGTTTCACCAAGGCCACTTAATCACCCCCTGCTTCCAATTGGCTCATTGAACCATATATCACAGCATCGCAGCCCCTTTTCAATGAGTCAACCCAAATCAGGACTAATTACAGCTCTCGTTCCACTCCACCTGGGCTCCAGAGCTCAGCTGTGGTTTAGGGTCGCACTGTACTCTCCAAGCCAGCCTCTCAGGTCCAGTCCAGGTCCTAATGAGAAACAGCTGGGGAAGAGGGGGAGGAGAGATTAGGGTAGACTGATGGAAGAAAGGGAGACACGGGGTGACAGACTGACAGACAGGGGAGGAAGGGGGTGTAGATTGGGCGAGAGACTGAGGAAGGGTCGCTGGGGAAGGGCATCGGAACACTGTTTGTGTTTGAAGTGCACTCAACCCCTGTTGCCAGGGGAGACTAGATGCTGCAATCTATTGGAGTGCAGGTGGGCTTTCATTACCCTTGAAAGAGAAAGAGTTCAATCCCATGAAGTAGTGGTCTACTGGGATCAGGAAACCAGGGTGCCCTCGCTGACTCAATTAAATTGTCTCAGTCTCAAGAACTTTAGTCGCCTGGGTGCCAGGCTCAGGAATTTAAGTGTTTTTGTTGTTATTTGTTGTGGGACTCCTTAGTCTCTCACCTCATCCCACCCTCTCTCCCTACACTCTCCTCACCCTCTCACCTCATCCCATCCTCTCCCTACCCCTCACCCCGCACCCGCGCACCCCACCCTCCCGCACCCTCGCACCGGTCAACCCCCCCACCCCGAGCCCACCCCTCACCCTACCCTCACCACCCTCAACCTCAGCCCACAGCGCACCCTACAACCCACCCGGCACCACCCACCGCCACTCGCGCACCCGCTCCACCGCACCTAGCCACACCAGCCGCACCCCCTCACCCTAACCCGACCCTCTCTCCGACCCTTCCTCACCCTCTCCCACCCACCCTTCCCTACCCTCTCCTCACCCTCTCACCTCAACCCACCCTCTCTCCCTACCCTCCACTCACCCTCTCACTTCGTCCCTCTCTTCACCCTCTTCTCCTCTCTATGCCCTTCCAGGAGCCCAGGTATAAGGACGGCAGCGAGGCCTTTGACAGTGGAGTGGATGGCCTGACAGCTGACACCAGCTCTCCCTCCCAGGTATCCAGCCTGTGGTACCCTGGCGGTGTGGGGGCCTCCCGGGCCCAGTCGGCAGGGGCCCTCCACCACAGCAACGATGCCCTTCGCCAGAACATCTATGAGAACTTCATGCGGGAACTGGAGACTGGACAGGGCAGTAGTGGAGGAGGAGGGGGAGCTGGTGAAAGGAGAGACCCGTCTACGGGGACAGAAGAGGGGGAGAGCAGCAGTGAATCTGCGGGGGGCTCTCTGGAGCAGCTGGACCTGCTGTTTGAGAAGGAGCAGGGGGTGGTGCGCAGGGCTGGTTGGCTCTCCTTCAAACCCCTCCTCACCCTGCATAAGGACAGGAAGCTGGAGATGGTCACACGAAGGAAGTGGAAACAGTACTGGGTCACCCTGAAAGGTGAGTAGGGGTGGGTGAGCAGAGGGAAACAGGGATTGGGACATTGCCATCTAAGGTCCAGTCGTTCAGAATTTAATTGGACCTTGAATACCTCACTGAAGTCGAGTCGAGCTTGATGCTCTCTAGGTTGGGTCACATTGAAATGTGAGTTTAAGGTGTGAGGAAGAGTAGAGGACAACAGAAGGTCAGAGAGTATTCAATTCTCATGTCCAGTCGATATGACCACTGTATCATGGAATACATCAACTGAAATTTAATTTACGCTGGTAGACAGAGGGGAAGGACAGTTTCCAACTTTAAATCACATTAAAGTTCAAGTAAAACTCTCCTAGAGAGAGTCCAGACGTATCACTTAAGTGAGGGAGGCAGCTTCATGTGGTTTCTGTAGGAGACTAGTCCACCTCCTTTACTTAGCCTGTGCATTACATTTACCATAGACTGATTCTTCACTACCCTAAAAGCTTACAGGGAATTATACTGGTGTATTTATCTGCTAAATGGATAAACCTCAGGCCAGGTGTGTGTGTAGATGTGGACCCTCAGCCTTCTTTCCACTTTACTGTAAAATGACAGAGACAATTAAATGACAGTTTGAGGTCATTCTTCTGAGGTGTGTTCTTCCTCCCTCTAACAACCAACCTCTTCCTCTCCCTGCAGGTTGTACCTTGTTGTTCTATGAGACCTATGGGAAGGGTTCTCCAGAGCAGGAGCTGTCTCCACGCTACGCCCTGTTTGCAGAGGACAGTATCGTCCAGGCCGTTCCTGAACACCCCAAGAAGGAGAACGTCTTCTGTCTCAGCAACACCTACGGAGATGTCTACCTATTCCAGGTGAGGCGGTCCGACTTACCTCACTCTCCAAACTGAACAAAGTACTGTAGATGCCAACAGTAGTTACCCCAATTGACGGAGATGCTGTATATACTTAACTGTCTCTTCTGAAAGAAATTCCATGTGTTTTGTATACATACAGTAAGTGTCCATGTGCTCACAGAGGTCACACTACAACTGTTTGAACTGCATTGCTCAGTCCAGCTGGTCACTCCTCCATTTTACTGCCTGCGTGGCGTTAGCTCCCTGAACGCGTTGTGTGTTGACGGTCTGATTTCCCCCGTCACGCTGCTTGGCTCCCTGTCAAGCTGTGTTCCAGCCAATTCAACACACAATTAAGGAGCAGAAGCTGTTACTTAGTGGGGAATGTTTTGTGAACCCGGAAAGGAAAGTGTGTCCTGTGCTGCTGTGGCAGCTAGCCTGGTTTGATAGCCTCTTCCTGCTTGGTCAGTTAAGCGGAACGTGTTCTGGTGACGTGTCCACAGTGGTGTAGTCTGCTGTTAGATTACACTGACTGTGTCCGACTGTGTCATTTTGGGATTAACATGGGTAACCGGGATTCCGGGACTGTCCCGGGAACACTCTTCACATTTCCCTAAAGAATAAAAGGACAAGACCCGGGAAATAAAATGTTCCCCCAATGTCGGAACTAATGCAATTCCAGAAAATACACAACATGCGCAGCATCAGATTATCAAAACAGGTTGTTTCGTGGAAGCCTTTAGTGTAGCGTATTTACATCACACAAAGTCGCCATAAATTCAAAGCACACGCATAATTGACACTGCACATGCGACCATAATGCAGTTAATAAACCCTACAGGAAACCCCTACAGTATAGCCTAAAAATAGCGTGTGCCTCTTTGAGCTGACATTGTGACTCTTCAGATTTTTGATAGGCCTATGCACAATTCACTACATAGGCATCTCTGTCAGACATGAAGTCTGTTAACAAGTCAGAGGCATCAGGGAACATTATATATTCTCCTGTCCTAGAGCCTAGGCTATTTTCCTATCCAGTCCCAATTCCACTGAAGCCCCAAATCCTGACTCCTGTCTCATATGAAAATTCCTAACTTTATTCTGTAATCCATAGGTTGTATTATCAAAGCACGTCTCTTGCCTCAATAACATTTCCCCCACTTCTCTGCACTGTCTCGTACTAGCTGCCAATATGAGAGCTTCAGTGAAGAATGTGTGATCAACATACAGTATGAGAGTAGATATGGATATATTTTTTAAACAGAGTTGGTCCCCGTTAAGATAGCTTGATATTTAAACTACTTCCACTCTTCATCTCCCTGTTATTAATCAGCTGATCTGTTATCTGTATAATCATCAACTAGATTTTGCCAAATTGAAGGAGGTTATCTAGCAAGCTTAGCAACTTTGGTCATTTGACTTTTTTTGACTGTCGTTACAAAGTTTGTATGATTCCACAGCGTTATACTCGGGATGCGCTCTGTGCGTCCTGAGCGCGCTCTGTGTCGAGATAACCTACGGCTGAATTAATTGAGGAACATGACAATGCTCAGAATTTATGAATGGCCTGTTTCGCAATTCACAACAATGTCATTGGCGATCAAAGATAGTTACTCTATAATGACTAAATATAATTTAATTTGCTCTGAAATCTTTACATAGTTGCGCAGCCAAGTCGAGAAGGTGGTGCAGCGCCCCTCTTGTTTGGAGAGAAATCTGGCATAGTGACCATATCTTGGTTTTAAAAGCTGTAAATGTGTACTGCTGATTTTTTGCTGTATTTCCCGGGACTCTCTGGATAAATATGAATTATTCCCGGTATTGAAACTTGGTAGCTTTTCAGGGAAATAGTTATCCCTAGAGTCAGCTAAACAATAGTGAACAAACACAATATTCAGCATATTCAGGCTGTACAGTAGTGGATGGAGATGTTTTACAAATATAGTCATGCACACTCACACACACTTGTTGTGTATTTTTGCACTGTATAATCGAGTAGATCAAGTTAATGATTATAGCTCGTAAATGATTATAAGGAGAAGATTTAAACTCCAGCTGGAGGGTTTCTGTTTGTGTTCATATTTTGATTATCATCTGACTCGCTGACCTTATTTTCACTGTTTGATACAGAGATTCTTGAGGCCTTGACTTGCCCTCTGTAGTTTTCCCCTCTCACATTTACGAGCTTTTCTGAGTGTATCGCATGAAATCCCAGTTGTGGTGTTCGGAGTAAATCTAATAAAATGGTGAAGTGGACTTAACATCACTAGAGAGTCTAAAGAGGTCAGGAAACCACTGACGGTATAAACTGGAGCACTATAAAACCCTGTGGTCTGTGTTCTCTCTCATTGTGTCCTACACGAGTCACTCCTCCCTCATATTCCTGATAATTTAATTGTTTTGTTAAGGTATATTATCCTTTCAAGATTGACTGTATTGACTGTGAAATTACGTAATAGCGTATAGATTGGGGAAATCTGGTATTGTGATGATATGCCATGAGGAGGCTAGGAACACAATATGCGTTAGAGCTGTCAATCATCCGGATATATAGAGCCCAACCCTTAACATGTCGTTCATGACGTCACGATCATCGCTGCGTCTTGCAAGTGTTCATACCATCTCATAAACCATTAAAGAACAAATTATTTTACAGTAATAATCTAGTTTGACCATTTATGGTCTAATCTCAAACCTCCATCATCTAATGTCCTACCTTCACCTCTGTGTGTTCAGGCCAGCAACCAGACAGACATGGAGAACTGGGTGACAGCCATCCACTCTGCCAGTGCCTCTCTGTTCGCTAAGCGTCATGGGAAGGAGGACACAGTACGTCTGCTAAGGAGCCAAATCAGAGGCCTGCTGCAAAAGGTAGACATGGATGGTAAGATGAAGAAGATGGCTGAGCTGCAGCTGTCCATCGTCAGTGACCCTAAGAACAGGAAGGCCATCGAGAACCAGGTGAGGAGGATGATTATGATGAGGATCAGAGGTTGTTATAGTGATAGTGTTGTGGTGTGTCACATGGAAGTATTGGTTAGTGTCCCTGAAAGAAAAACACGTTTTTGTTTTAATGTCCTGTTGTTCTGTTCTGTTAAGTGTGTTTGTTAGGAATCTAGCAGCCCTAAAAATACTTGAATCACACCATGCGACTAAAACCCCATGTCTTATTTTTGGAAGTGGTCTAAATGTAGCTAGTGGCCGTCAAAACACAATACTTAGGGGAGAGAAGAGGCAGGCTGCTTCTTCCCATTGCATCAGATTGGGAATCCAGATGTTGTTCTGTATAATGGCCTCTCAACATGCATTATCCCCTGTAACAGCCTGCCTGAGGAGAAAAACCAGAACCAATCACTGATTCTCACCACAGCTAAAAGTGTCCTGTACATGTAATGTAGTGAGCCATGGAGATGGCTAAAGATTAGTTTATCAACTCCCCACCTACTTAAGAGTAGATGTCAGATTTATAGTGAATCTACCTCCACTGCAAGACATGAAAGCTCAACATCTGAAAGCGCACATTTTTCTAATAATCTTATCAATGAGGTAACATTGCTGTGAAAAAGATGAATGGCTCATGGGAATGACCTGGAGGGCAGTCCCTGTCTTCCAGACTGACTTAGTGTCTGTTTCATGTTAGCTATCACGGCACCTCGGGACAGAGAGACATAGCAGTCTGGAGCCAGTGATGGGGTCAGAGGGGAAAGGGCGGGGTTAGGCCCCGAGACGGGCACCCACGGCTGATGATGGATTTGGGGGGGTTGGAGGGCAGGGGGTGCTACAAGGGGCACATTGATGTCTACCCTCCCCCTTCTCAAAATCAGTGCCAGCAGACATTTTTGAACTCTCTCTATTCCCCCTCCATAGTGAAGTCATAATCAGGTTGCCATTTACAACCATTAAGAGATAGAGGGGGCAGATGTTGGAGAGGAAAGTCAAAGGAGGCTGTATCTCTAAGGAAAGGCCCATTCCTGCCTCTTTTAATGGGCCTGAAATGGGAGTAAATAGAGACTAAGTAGGATTGCTCTAAGGCCAGATGGGTGCAATATGCCGTCACTGCGATGATAGTGTCTCTCTGCCTTAGTGCAGGTTTGCCAGCGGTACAGAGGCATACACACACGCATACCTCTCTCTTAGTCTTAATCTGATAATGGCCATGCTTCTTTGATATGATGAAGGATTAACATTGCCTGACAGAATGTAAAATAAGATGTAATCGATCAGACATGGGTTTGAGTGTGGCGCTTCCATTTGTGGCTATGCAGTGTCCAATATTAAACGGTATCAGCTATCAAACCCTAATCCACCTGTCTCCCCATTGTATCCTCTCCTGTCCCCCAGAATACACCATTGTTATGGCTTTAGAGAAGCCATGGGGATACAGGGTTATCGCTGCAGATTTACCAAGCATGACGCTTAGGACAACTAACACAGCTCTGCCCAGACTCTGACCCTGGGATGACACTATATGAATGACACATGACCATGCACTAGATGTCTGCACACTGGCTCACATTGGCTCCTGAAGGGCATATGTTGATAATGTCATTGGGTTTAACCTTTACGTGTGTTAGCTCTGTCTGAACACACAGCATTGTGCAGCAGGCTCATTGTTGGTCTTTACAGTCCTGTTGTTGTGATGGTGGAATGTTCTAGGCTCAGACTGCTCCCCTCCCCAAGTCATTCCCAACCATGAAGAATTCCATCAATGTGAATCAGTCTTCATGGGAGGACTCCATCCTGTTCTGTATTGTAAATTAACTCTCTTCAGACCAACACTATTAAAGTCAATTGTATAGAGAGTCGTTTAACTCCAGTTTTCTCGTTAAAGTGAACCTCCCAAGCTAACAAAATAAGCACCCTCTCTCACCCTCTCATACTTTACATAGTGCGAAAAGGGCATGTGTTCATTCTCTGTGCGTGTGTTTGTTGGTGAGTGTGCTGTGTGTGTATTTAGGGGGAAGGGTTATAGGGTGGTCTGGTGCTCGTCAACTCCCTTCCATGACTTTTATTGCAGAGAATAAGAGAGACTGCATTAAACACACACACACACACACACACACACACACACACACACACACACACACTCTACAACCCTCCCTCACTATCATCAACCTTAATGCCCTGCCCTCACCCAGCAGCAGCTTGTGCATACCCCCCCCACCACCACATCTGTAAGCAATCCCAGTTTGATGGAATGCACCCTTAACTATCTCCCCGATCTCCCCTCTCTGCCTTTCCCTCCCTCCCTCTTCTCACCCCTCCAACTGTCCCTCTCTCCCTCATCACCCCTCCTCATTCCCTCCCTCCCTACAGATCCAGCAGTGGGAGCAGAACCTGGAGAAGTTTAACATGGACCTGTTCAGGATGCGCTGTTACCTGGCCAGCCTGCAGGGGGGCGAGCTGCCCAACCCCAAGAGTCTGTTAGCTGCAGCCAGCCGGCCCTCCAAGACCACCCTGGGACGCCTGGGCATCTTCTCTGTGTCCTCCTTCCACGCGCTGGTGAGACCCTTCATATGGCAGGTTGAGGGGTAGGGCTGTCTATCCAAATTATATAGAAAGTACTCTAGTTGACCAGAGTTTGTAGTTTTGAAGTCTGGTCTGGAATGAAAGGTTTTCTACAGTAGCTAAAGATGTTCAGTTAAGGTGTAAACTCTCAAAGGTAACCCTTTGACACACACATTGATTGAGTATTGCTATAGGAGACTGAAGTTGAAGCAGGTTGATTGATGTAAGTCTAACTGCTGCGTTTGATCCTAGTCCTGACGGTGTGTTATGTCGTCAGATCTGTTCCAGGGATGAGGCGACAATGAGGAGGCGCTCCATGTCCCTGAGCCAGAGATCACGTAACAAGAGAGGCCTCTTCTCCTCCCTCAAAGGCCTCGACAACCTCACCAAGAGGGGCCGCGACAAGAGACCGTCCACAGAACAGGTACAGTACCTGGACACACTGAACACACACAGACTCCCACACTGGCCCAGTGAGTCCATAACACTCCTGCAAGGAAATCTAATCAAGACTTTCTCACAATTCTTAGAGAAAGTTCCAATGTGGTGTGCGTTTTCCCCAATAAACGAGATTATGTTTATTAAACTCATATTCTTCTCTGGTGAGTTTTAAGTGCATAATCCCACTCTATGTAAACAGCGAGCATTCCAACCACAGGTGCAAGAGGGATAAATTCTCTGTTTAGTAATTACACTTCCACACAGGCTCATTATTTATTGATGTTTTCAGTCCACCCCCCTCTACCCTGAAGGTACTGCTCAGGAGAGTCAGTACAGTAGGTGGTCTATTTTAAGACAAGGAAAAGACCTGGTTTCCATGATCAAGTCTATTATGAAAACCCATACATTTGGATAATGGTGTGGGAATGAGAATGCCAGTACAACACTACAATCTTTCCTCTGATGTAGTTTGACAGTCTTCTTCTTTGAGTTGCGTCTGTGCTGGAGGCTTCACTTTGAGGATTCATAAATGTTTCTGCTGCCATGTCTTAGCTGTTACTGGTGCTGACTGACTGACTGACTGACTGACTGACTGGTGTATCTGTGATTGTAGGGAGCATAAAGCACCCATCTAAACTGTAGACACTGCTAACTGCCAGCTCCTGATTCTCCTTAGTCCTCTTCAGAAGAGGAGGCCATCTGTCCTTAATGCAGACAACAGGGTCTTCCCTGCTCCTCCCAGTACTCTCCTCACCCCTCCCCCTCCGCTGGGCTATATATGTGTGTGGTGTTATGTGTGATGTTGTTTAAGGTGTGTTTGGGAGCTCTAGCAGGTTAGCTAATGAGACCCAGTCTGTTTCACAGCGCAGAAGGCTGAGGTGGCGCACGGCGAGTGGGAACAGTGATGTAGCATGAATTATTAAAAGCCATATGTGGTAAATTGCAGCCTGCTGTACCGAGCCCTGCAGCTACAAACAGATGGTTTGTGTAAGTCCACTAAATATTAAACAGCTCCACGCTTTTTCACAGGTTTCACTCCTAAGCGTAGCTCTCCAGTTGGGATATGTTTCTGCCTTCCTATGATGGGCGGCAGGTAGCTTAGTGGTTAAGAGCGTTGTGCCAGTAACCGAAAGGTCGCTGGTTCTAATACCCGAGCCGACTAGGTGAAAAATCTGTCTGTGCCCTTGAGCAAGGCACTTAACCCTAATTGCTCCTGTAAGTCGCTCTGGATAAGAGCGTCTGCTAAATGACCAATTATTTTTATTTTTTATGTTGATTCCCATTAAAAGAGTGGCTAATTGCTTCAAGGGGGTTGTAGAGTGATGACTCCAGGTACATCTGCTGTCTTGTGTGTGTAGGTAGGGCTGGTGTAGTGTGAGAATTAGTTAACAATCTTTCCTAGAGACTAGTTGAGCCTCTGTGTGACATCATTGCTCATGACACGTGTTTATTACAGAGGGATTTAGACAGCAGGCTGATCTTTTATGCCAAACTCTCTCTTCTTTACTTTCTCTTTCTCATATCCCCTTTCCTCTTTCTCTGTCCTTAGCTCTCTCCCTCCAGCTCTCCCCTTTCTCTGTTTCTATAGTATAAACATTCACCACCTACCACATCTTCCCACAGTCATCTCATTGAGTCATCTCTGTTGACTAGGCCCAAATCCAATTTACTCTGCTTGGTCATTCCAAAATCAGAACCTCTCCCTCAGCACAGGACAGGCCCTCTTCTCTCCTCTGTCTGATAGACAAAGGGGTGTGGCGTTACCCTAGGAGCTACCTGGCCAGGGTTCAGTGGCGGCAGTAGACAAGACAGAGGAGGGCCCAGGGATTTGTGGGAGAGGTTTAAGAGTTCTAAAATGAGTGGGCTTGTCAGCAGTGTTTACAGTACTATAACAGGACCTGCTCTGTGCTGCATACAGCATGTGTTAGTTACCTCAGTAGCCAGAGGTCAGTGGAGGTCTGTATGTGTCACTACTAGGGCCATCTGTCTGGAGAGGCCATATTCATTTATCATCTGAGTCTCACCTGAAACAAGGCAGAGTGCTGGGTTTAGCTGGGTTGAAGGACAGTAGAGCGGTGGCGTCATCGGTCATCCCGCTGAACCTGCAGAGTCACCCTGCCTAGAGGGCTTAGGGACTCATCGAATGCTTTGCTGCCTGCCACAACACACCTTACGTCAGTCAGTCGGGAGGGAGGGAGGGAGGGAGGGGATCAAGAAGAGCGAGATTAAGGGCCTCTTTACGCTACACTACTTTGACGACACATACTAGTCCCAGGAAAGATATTAAAGGCTTTTAAAATATCCACACATTTGTGAATCATTGCATTAATCAAGTGTGCAACATTATGTGCAATATGGTTAAGATGAGAAGCTCCTGTATAATTTGAATTGCTATTCTTTTTTTTGTTGTCTATATACTATGATATTTACGGTATGCTAATAGGTGCACACACATATAGAGGCTTTGAATGTGGCTTTGGCCAAATCAAATTGTATTTGTCACATGCGCCGAATACAACACGTGTAGACTTTACCGTGAAATGCTTACTTACGAGCCCTTTCCCAACAATGTTGAGCTAAAAAGTACGAAAAAAGCAATAGTGACACAATAAAATAACGAGGCTATATACAAGGAGTACCGGTACCGAGTCAATGTGTAGGGGTACGAGGTAGTTGAGGTAATATATACATGTAGGTAGGGGTAAAAATGACTAGGCAATCAGGATATATAATAAACAGAGTAGTGTGTGTGTTGGGGTGTCAGTGTAGTATGTGTGGGTAGAGTCCAGTAAGTGTGCATAAGCCAGTGCAAGAGAGACAGTCCAACAAAAAAAAGGGGGTCAATGCAAATAGTCCGGGTAGCCATTTGATTAACTGTTCAGCAGTTTTATGGCTTGGGGGTAGAAGCTGTTCAGGAGCCTTTTCGTCCCAGACTTGGCGCTCCGGTACCGCTTGCCGTGCAGTAGTAAAGAGAACAGTCTGACTTGGTGGCTGGAGTCTTTGACCATTTTTAGGGCCTTCCTCTGACACCGCCTGGTATAGAGGTTCTGGATGGCAGGGAGCTCGGCCCCAGTGAAGTACTGGGCTGTACTCACAACACTCTGCGGTGCCTTGCAGTTGGAATGCCAAGCAGTTGCCATATCAAGCTTTGATGTAGCCAGTTGAGATGCTCTCAATGGTGCACCCGTATAACTTTTTGAGGATCTGAGGGCCCATGCCTTTTCAGCCTCCTGAGGGGGAAGAGGTGTTGTCGTGCCATCTTCACGACTGTGTTGGTGTTTGGACCATGATAGGTTCTTAGTGATGTGGACACACAGAGGAACTTGAAGTTCTCGACCCGCTCCACTACAGCCCCGTCGATGTGAATGGGGGCATGCTCGGCCCTCCGTTTCCTGTAGTCCACGATCAGCTCCTTTGTCTTGCTGGCATTGAGGGAGAAGTTGTTGCCCTGGCACCACACTGCCAGGTCTCTGACCTCCTCCCTGTAGGCTGTCTCATCGTCGTCGGTGATCAGGCCTACCACCGTCGTGTCGTCTGCAAACTTAATGGTGTTAGTCGTGCGTGGCCACGCAGTCGTGGGTGAACAGGGAGTACAGGAGGGGACTAAGCATGCACCCCTGAGGGGCCCCCGTTTTGATGGTCAGCGTGGCGGATGTCTTGCCTATCCTCACCACCTGGGGGCGTCCCGTCAGGAAGTCCAGGATCCAGTTGCAGAGGGAGGTGTTTAATCCCAGGTTCCTTAGCTTAGTGATGAGCTTGGAGGGCACTATGGTGTTGAACGCTGAGATGTAGTCAATGAACAGCAGTCTCACATAGGTGTTCATTTTGTCTAGGTGGGAAAGGGCAGTGTGAACTGCAATAGAGATTGCATCATCTGTGGATCTGTTGGGGCGGTATGTGTAAACAGAAAAGTTGCAAATCGGATGTTGAAGAGGGATAGATCTTACTACACATATTTTACTAATGTAAACCCCCCCCCCCTCCACAGAGGTATAGTAAGAGAGAGGAGGGTCTGGAGAGGGAGAGGTGGTGTCTCCCACCCTCCTCTCTGCCCTGGTGGGCTGTCTCTCCTTTCATCTATTCCCTCTCTCTCTCTCCTGCCACACAGAAGTCTTATTAGCCTAAGTCCTGTTTCTGTATCTCCACACTGCTTATTACTGCCTTTTTCTGGGGCCTCACAGGCTGCCTCTGCCCCAGCCACCATGGAAATGGTATCAAAGCACCAGGCCCTCACTGCACACTTTTTAATTAGCTACATAATAACAGTGTGTGTGTCTGTGTAATACGTCTGCTGCTATGGGTCACTGCTGTTTAATAGATGACTAAGGGGATTTTTACAAGTCAAGTCAATGTGTGTTTCTCTTCGTTGCAGATCTTTGAAAGTGATGAAGGAGGACAGCCCTACTGCCTCCCACCCACTAGTTCTGAGGTGAGTTTATGTTACCACTTTTTATGACAGTTTCATAAAATTGTATGACATTTTAAGAAATATGGATGTTAAAATACCATATTCTGTTTTTATGTCTGCTTCGGTTTAGATATCAAACAAGTGTCAAACTATCTTATAGTTCATTGACTGAGCGTCTACCGTCTAGATTCTATAAGTGAGTGCATATGGCTGAAACATGGAACAGCAGTATCATGTGTCTCAGCAAGCTTTATGGTTACGAATTACGATGACAAGCCGTGTGATGACATCTCCCACGTGTTATCACAGGTTAGGGGTCATGCCTTCATGTCATGTCTGACTTTGCAGACTTAGTGCTGTGGTCTGTACCATACGTAGGGCCAGATCAGGATAAAAGCTGAGATTTCTCTAATGCCATCTGCAGGTGTCTGTCTCTCTCTACTGCCATATCTGTACATCAAAAGGAGAAAAACCTGCACCCCAGCGTATCTAAGGGGCAATACAAACCACAAAAAGAGATACTATACAAAGCCAAGATCATAGAGCTCAAAAGGGAGTGCCCAGTGCAAAAGTGAGTTAGTTAACCTACTGGAACCAATTGGTCATCATCAGCGTGTTACCCA